ACAGGGCAGGAACCCCACCACACAGCCTCAGCATGTGGTTCCCGCACCAGAAGCAGCCACCAGTCACATTTTTCAAGTGCTCAGCACCACCCAGCCAGCAAGAGACAACGCCAGATACTTTCTGAACCCTGGGAATTTGATAAAGTGGAGGGTGCTTCCCCTAAACCACCTGGTGTGAGCAGCCCAGGGGTTTGCAGGGAGGCACAACCGATCCAGACACACTTCAGAGGCCAGAGGACAGACTGGCGCTGGCCGGCTCTGCCCCGCCGGGAAGCATTTCCCAGGGTTTAACTAGACCTGAGCACGCAGAGCTGCGACGTGGTGGCCCCATCTCCTTCCCCATGCCCTGCGCTGCCAGCCGCCCACCTCGTCCCTGCTGGAGGGGAGCGGATGGCAGGGCCGGCCCCGGGTCAGCCCGGGGGCTGAGGGTGGGATGTCTGACACCGGGCCAAATCCTTGCCAGCAACGAGCACAGGGAACCGCTGGAAGAGCTGTGATGAGAGCAGAGCACCGGTGCCAAAAGGATATTCAATTTACTGTGTAAAAGCTTGGCTTGGATCTATGGCAGATTGATTGCTTAAAAAGCCAATTTTATTTAAATTAACTTCAATCTAAATTTCAGAAGCAGGCACACACTGAGCCTCTGGGTTATTAGAAGCTTTAATTTGGAAAGGGGCGATTTTCTCCTTTAGATGAGCACCACCAGTGGTGCTCCAGCAAACTATCACCACACCACAACAGCCTCGTCAAAGCCAAACGGATCGCCAAGTATTGCTGTGGTTATTGCGTTACTCAAACCCGGGCATCCCGGGACGCGAAGCGGTGGCACTGCTCCAGGTGGGAGGGGTGCTGCAGGGCCAGGGGACGGAGCCTGCTGCGGCTGCTGGAAGGGACGAACGCCTTCGCCGGGTGCCAGCCTCCTCACACACACACGCCTCTGGGCACGGCACGGCTACGGCTTACTTGCCCCACGCACGTCCCCCCTCCTGGGCCCTTGCAGAGGACAGTGCCCCAGCTCCAGCCCGAGACAAGCCATGGCGCGTATCGCCGCTTTTCTGACGGCGGAGCCCCCCCAGGCCAGGCGTAACGCCAGCGACGCCGAGCAGTGCCGCCCTCGGAGCTGCCCCCCACGCACCGGGCAGCGCTGCCGCGGCCAGGCCATCTGCCTCCATCCCCGGAGGAGGACAGCAACGGGGACAGCACCGTGACGGGGAAGGTGTCCCGCAGCAGCGGTCTGACGGGCCCTACCTGCATCCTCAGCGCGTCAGCACACTGCGAGCGGTTGGAGACACAGGCGTAGGTGGAGGGGCACCAGTGACACTTCCACCTGGTCGAGAGGCAGCTGGTGCACCTGAAATGGCAAAGGTGTGGGGAGAAAAGCAGATTCCAGGCTGCTCAGGGGAGCCACAGCCCAGCCGTGCGATCCGTCCTCACACGGTGTGCTCAGTCTCTAACGGTGCCCAGAAAAACCCGCGGGCATCTGCTGGGCTGCCATCTCCCCCTCCCCCCGGGAGCGGGCAGGGGCCGCGGGCAGGGGCCGCGGGCAGAGCCCACCGTTCCCAGCACTGCTCCGAGCCAGCTCCACAGCATCTCCTCCTGTGCCTCCACTGCCCAGCACCAGGACACGGCAGACCGCGGGCATGGGCTCCAGCTCCTCCCCTGCTTAGTGAAAAATGCTCTTTTCCCCCAAAATGCTCTTTCACCCCACCCATCTCTCTGGGGAGCCAGGCACACTCCTGCCCAAAGAAGGCTCTGCCATGGGGTTTGACCTCTGGCAGGCACGACACAGGGATCCCCACGCTCCTGAAAGGCGGATGGCTTTCTGCGGGGGGACACAGAACACCCCAGCACCCAGCATGCTGATGAGGGGTGGGGGGCTGCTCCCACCTGGGGCTGGCAGGGCAGAGGGAGCAGGGGGGAGGCACCCCTGCCTCACTGCCCCACAGACCCCCTGGGATCGCTGGGCAGGACGGCTCCGCTGCACAAGGGTTAACAGAA